AAGTTTTATCTATTATTTCATCCCGAAGTGACACCGAAATTCTTTTATCATGTTTCGGTTCATGCAGAAACTTGGGGATCTGAAACAACAGAGGTCATGCAACGTGAGCATTAATAAATACTTAAGAAAACAGTATTAGCGCAAACCTCAGGCAGGAATTCCAAAGCAAAGATGTGGTGAAATTGTGCGAATGATGAAAACAGTAACACCAGAGATCACAATTTCGCTAAAGTCAGTGCCACCCAGACGAAGGACTAAGAAGAATGAACACAGACCAGAGATCTTTGAATTAACCCAAGTGGGCTTTCGTGTGCCTGCGCATGCCAGCATGAAGAAGGTGCTCTCGATGTGGAAGTATTTTTTACATAAACAGCGGTCTCGCACATGAGAGGTTGGCTTCTGAGATCATGCTCAGAGATAGACTAGGAGAGGGTCTGCTTCTGCGATCATGATTAAGAGTGAGTAAGCGCAAAACAGACAAGGACGTAGAAGAGACAGACACATACAGAGCGCTACTTTCAACTGATCTTTTATTTTCGCACGAACCGATAAATATATACCGAGCGAGCGGAAATAACATAAACATAAAGAACATATCGCGGAATCACATCGTAGAACCAAGCACGTGTAAATTGCACTACATAGTAAAAGTACAAGTCACTGTGTCGAATCAAGGTAATGAAGTTCTTTTTGAGAAAGCGATACTGATGGTTGGCTAACGCACATGTCAGATAATTTCGCGATTTCATATGCCTCCATAATCTCCCTTGTCATTTTGCCAGGAGCCTTAGATAGAATTTTAGTTTTTTCGAAGAGGGGTATACATCCACAATCTCGGCAATGGATGCCCAAATGGCCCGAGATTGCTTTCGTGACATTATAATGATGTTCTTTCAATCTCTGATTGATACATCGGCCAGTTTGACCAATATAGGTTCTTCCACAAGAAAGCAGAATAGCATAAACAACATTGCGAATGCAGTTCACAAAAATTGTTCGATGATTAATAAGGCAGGTGTTTGCACTGTTACACTGTGAATTTACGCGTCGACACAACCTATGTAGACGTTCGGGAGCTGAAAAGATCACATCCACTCCTGCCTTTCCCGCGATCCTTCTGAGATTATGCGATACACCATGCAAGTACGGAACGACGGCCACTTTTTTTGCTGTACGACCATTACTGCCTTTAGGTGGGTGTTTTAGCTTCCTGCTCAAACCCTCTGCGACAGAGCTCAGCACACAAATTGGGTAACCAGACTCTGCTAAGCGCTTGGCTTGGTTCAGAAAACTGCTTTCAACTTTGTGATTACAGGACTTCCTAAGAGAGTTATTAAAACAGGATTGTACAACGGCGCGTTTCACGAGCTTTGAATGGGCGGAGGAAAACGGCAGGACGGGCTTATTGCCCCTTGGCTCATAACTCCAACACACTTTCTCAGATGAAAAGTAGATACCTAAGTCCAAAAACCTAATGAAATTGCCCTCGGGCATTTCATGCGTCAAGACCAATGGAGAAAGGGTTTCCGTGAAAGTGGTTACAATTTTTGAAACCTCATTGTCGAAACTACATGAGTCATTGTTTAAAACAATTAAGAAATCGTCGACAAATCTAAACACACGTACAACATCAGGGTGATTTCTTAATTGTTTTAAACAATGACTCATGTAGTTTCGACAATGAGGTTTCAAAAATTGTAACCACTTTCACGGAAACCCTTTCTCCATTGGTCTTGACGCATGAAATGCCCGAGGGCAATTTCATTAGGTTTTTGGACTTAGGTATCTACTTTTCATCTGAGAAAGTGTGTTGGAGTTATGAGCCAAGGGGCAATAAGCCCGTCCTGCCGTTTTCCTCCGCCCATTCAAAGCTCGTGAAACGCGCCGTTGTACAATCCTGTTTTAATAACTCTCTTAGGAAGTCCTGTAATCACAAAGTTGAAAGCAGTTTTCTGAACCAAGCCAAGCGCTTAGCAGAGTCTGGTTACCCAATTTGTGTGCTGAGCTCTGTCGCAGAGGGTTTGAGCAGGAAGCTAAAACACCCACCTAAAGGCAGTAATGGTCGTACAGCAAAAAAAGTGGCCGTCGTTCCGTACTTGCATGGTGTATCGCATAATCTCAGAAGGATCGCGGGAAAGGCAGGAGTGGATGTGATCTTTTCAGCTCCCGAACGTCTACATAGGTTGTGTCGACGCGTAAATTCACAGTGTAACAGTGCAAACACCTGCCTTATTAATCATCGAACAATTTTTGTGAACTGCATTCGCAATGTTGTTTATGCTATTCTGCTTTCTTGTGGAAGAACCTATATTGGTCAAACTGGCCGATGTATCAATCAGAGATTGAAAGAACATCATTATAATGTCACGAAAGCAATCTCGGGCCATTTGGGCATCCATTGCCGAGATTGTGGATGTATACCCCTCTTCGAAAAAACTAAAATTCTATCTAAGGCTCCTGGCAAAATGACAAGGGAGATTATGGAGGCATATGAAATCGCGAAATTATCTGACATGTGCGTTAGCCAACCATCAGTATCGCTTTCTCAAAAAGAACTTCATTACCTTGATTCGACACAGTGACTTGTACTTTTACTATGTAGTGCAATTTACACGTGCTTGGTTCTACGATGTGATTCCGCGATATGTTCTTTATGTTTATGTTATTTCCGCTCGCTCGGTATATATTTATCGGTTCGTGCGAAAATAAAAGATCAGTTGAAAGTAGCGCTCTGTATGTGTCTGTCTCTTCTACGTCCTTGTCTGTTTTGCGCTTACTCACTCTTAATGGATTCAAACCAACTAGCCCACCAACGTGTTTTGGCGATCATGATGCTTCTGAGATCGGCTAGATGAGGGTCTGCTTGTGAGATCATGCTCACGTCTTTGACAAGCATTGAGCTTGCAAAAAACATTGCAACTCATTTTTCAGAAAGTCTATTATAACTTAGATGGGCACTCATTCGCATTGATTTGTAGAAATTCATCGTACAGTTGGTTGGGCTCTAATAAAAACAAGAGAAGAATGTTTTCTACCCCTGTCCCAGTTTCACAAAAGAAGCGTGAGTAACTATACAACAAATTCAACATGTTTATCATTCATCATCATCATCATGAGCCTGATTACGTCCACTGCAGGACAAAGGCCTCTCCCATGTTCCGCTAGTTGAACCGGTCATGTGCTTGGTGCTGCCAGTTTATACCTGCAAACTTCTTAATCTCATATGCCCACCTAACCTTCTGTCTCCCCCTGACCCGCTTACCTTCTCTGGGAATCCAGTTAGTTACCCTTAACGACCGACAGTTATCCTGTCTACGCGCTACATGCCCGGCCCATGTCCATTTCTTCTTCTTGATTTCAGCTATGATATCCTTAACCCCCGTTTGTTAACCTATTCCACTCTGCTCTCTTCTTGTCTCTTAAGGTTACACCTACCATTTTTCTTTCCATTGCTCGCTGCGTCGTCCTCAATTTAAGCTGAACCCCCTTTGTAAGTCTCCAGGTTTCTGCTGCGTAGTTAAGTATCGGCAAGATACAGCTGTTATATACCTTCCTCTTGAGGGATAGTGGCAATCTACCTGTCATAATTTGAGAGTGCTTGCCAAATGTGCTCCACCCCATTCTTATTCTTCTAGTTACTTCAATCTCGTGGTTCGGCTCCGCGGTTATTACCTGCCCCAAGTAGACAAAGTCTTTTACAACTTGAAGTGCACTATTACCTATCTCGAAGCGCTGCTCTTTTCCGAGGTCGTTGTACATTACTTTCGTTTTCTGCAGATTAATTTTAAGACCCACCTTTCTGCTCTCCTTGTGTAAATCCAAAATGATGAGTTGCAATTCGTCCCTTGAGTTACTCAGCATTGCAATGTCATCGGCAAAGCGCAGGTTACTAAGATACTCTCCATTAACTCTTATCCCTAACTGTTCCCATTCTAGGCTTCTGAAAACCTCCTGTAAGCACGCGGTAAATAGCATTGGGGAGATTCTGTCCCCCTGCCTTACACCCTTTTGATTGGTATTCTGTTGCTTTCTTTATGAAGCACTATGGTAGCAGTTGATCCCCTGTAGATTTCTTCCAGGATGTTTATACTTCATCGACGCCCTGATTCCGCAGTGGCTGCATGACGACTTATATTTCTACTGAATCAAACGCGTTCTCGTAATCTATGAAGGCTATGTATAGTGGTTGGTTATATTCTGAGCATTTCTCTATTACCTGAGTGTGCATATGTCTTTATACGGCAGCGGCCAGGATCAGCTTGTCAGCATATGTCTTTATACGGCAGTCACCAGGATCAGCTTATCAGCATATGTCGTTTTATGCCAGAGACCAGGATCAACTTGTCAGCATATGTCTTTATATGCCAGTGGCCAGGATCAGCTTGTCAGCATATGTCTTTTACGCCAGTCGCCAGGATCAGCTTGTGGTCATATGTCTTTATATGCCAGTCACCAGGATCAGCTTTTCAGCATATGTCTTTATACGCAAGTGGCCAGGATCAGCTTGTGTGCTCAGCTTGTATGAATGTGGTCGATTGTTGAGTAGCCTGTTCGAAATCCTGCTTGTTCCTTTGGTTGACTGAATTCTAATGTTTCCTTTACTCTGTTAGCAATTACCTTTGTAAATAGCTTGTATACTACAAAGAGCAAGCTAATCGGCCTGTAATTCTTCAATTCCTTGTCATCTCCTTTCTTATGTATTAAGATGATGTTAGCGTTCTTCCAAGACTCTGGTACCCTTCCCGTCAGGAGACACCTCGTAAACAGGATGGCTAGTTTTTCTAACACAATGTGTCCTCCATCTTTCAGCAGATCTGATGTTACCTGATCCTCACCAGCAGCTTTGCCTCTTTGCATGCTCTCCAAGTTTATCATTACCAGAACTTAAATTTTTCTCCTCACAAATAAATATCATTACAAACCGTTACAAAACTTACAGCAGTAAAATGAAACTAAAAGGAAAAGAGAAAATAGCCTGCTTATGAGAGCCACAGACTGACCTGCAGCGAGTCCTGCTTCAGACGATCCACTTCAGCTTCAAGGGCAGCTTTATCCCTCTCGAGGTGACGAGCGCGAGCTTGCTCTCCGTCCTTGGACAGTGCTTTCTCAAGCTCTACTGCTCGATCCCGCGCTTGCTGCAACTCCTGTGATCGCTGACGCAACCGCTCATCCGCTGCCCGGAGCTCCTGCTGGCTGCACAGCAGCTGTGGAGAGGCAATTCTTTTATAGAATACTCCTTGTCAGATAAATCAATTAATTAAACTTAATAAATTAATAATATGACATGACAATGAAGCACTCTGTAGCAAGAACTGACCACCAAGGTTCTTGAGCATGTGAAGAGGATCGAACACATCAGAAAAATAACTTTGGAAATATTCAATGCCAAACGAACCCATTGTGTTGCACTTGTTGCTGGATGTAAAAATCATTGGGGCATTCATTCACTGATCCAAGCATAGGCGTCAACTACGTGGAGGCCACAGGGCACTTGTCCCTAGCCAAGTTTTCCGGCAAGAGCACTTTTAAAGTTTGAGGTTTAATTCATGCTCAAGCTAATGAATATACTAGTGGTCTAACGTCTAGGAGCAGTGAGTTCCACTCTACAGAAACAATCTTTGATGCTTGACGAAGCGAGAAGGTTGATTATAAAGGTACTAGAGATAGCATTAGTGAACTCTGTCAAAGCTTTTCCTGCTTTTGTGCCGAGAGCCTAGTGTTGTCTCGTCAAAAAAGAATAATTTCACGCCGCTATGATGAAAGATCTACAGGTCATGTGTTTCATTCTCCTGATGATATGTAGTACCCGTTCTACTACATCATAGTAAACATGGTGCTTTTGTACTTGGAACAATATCCCGCTAACAGCACATCATCGGCACTGAGAAGTTCCTGATTGAGTATGCTGATACCTAATAGTACGTATCTCAGTTTTACGGGTCAGACTCTGAAGCTGCATGGAGACCTGTCATTGCATGGTAGCACAATAAACCTTCATTAAGAACACTTGAAGATGTTTTGGGGGGGGAAAAGGAAAGCACTTGAGAGAGCTGCTTCCTGAAATAGCCGCATTAGTTAAAATTGTGCTAACTGTGCCAGTCACATTGTGCACATCGAAGAGATTATTATGACATCATCGAAGAGTTAAAAAAGAGTTAAAATGTATTTGAGGTCAATTATGAGACTAGCAGAGCTAGATCATATCGCTCTTCTCCATAGATCCAAGGAGCTCAGCCAGAACAATGACTTAAATCGCATCGCTGATGAATTTATCAGAAACCGGCTGTGTGCGAAAACACATTTCGTACTGAATGAGCATCCTGTATGTATGACAACATCCCTTGGGAGCTTTTGTATAATATCATGAATGTGTATATCATTCTTTCATGCTCATGTATACATCAAAAACTTCGATTAGTGCTTTTTTGTTGTGTTTGCACTTATACACATTTATATAGCCGCGTACCTTTATTGAAGTTTTCTTATCGCCATGTTGCACCATGTTAAGCGCAAACCACGCCTACATTGTTAGAGAAGCTTCGAGGCTGATCATTATAAGATTACGCCCACTTCGTGAATGTTTCAGATTATTCTGTAAACAACGTCCCCGCTAGCGATAACACTAGAATGTTCTATGGCAAGTGTATAAATGCCGACACGCTTCGCCACTTGTCAGTTGATCGACGGCCGCCACTCTGTTCACAGCTATCTGTGCAAGACGGTGACTGTAATCAGACTTTCCATTTACCGGGCACAGGTTCGCCCAAATAAGCAGTTGAATCCCGACATAAAGTCTCCTGTCTTTGGCCACGTCATGACCTCATGACAATTTGTACTTTCATTGCGAAAAGGGGGGGGGGGGGTGTATGCTTTTTGTCTTTGAATTCATGCTTTAGATATTTCATTTTGTATTTTTTTCTTTCAAACATTTAAATAAATAAATAAGTGTGTATGTGCACATGTGCATGTATCTGTGCGTGTGTGTTTGACGTTATAAAACAGAGTTACGTCGTGATTTAGATGCCATCCATTTATTCTAATACACGCGCATTTCTTCTTCATCGGCTTCTCCTACCATTACCTTGTTCATATGTTACACTCTTCCTCGTCCCCTCAAGAAAGTGCCAGTTCAGAAGGTACAAAATAACATTGTAGTTTGCCAACATGAATAATGTACAAGTTTCTACCTACGGGACAACGCGGAACGGTTGATATCATAGTACAACGCTGATAGGCGAGTTTGGCACAGAAAGGGTAGTTCAGCGCAGGATGGTGCAGGCAAGCAAGTTTGGCACACAATGGCACAAATGGCGCAGCTGTACCACCCCTGATTTCTAGCATATATCACAATGTTGAATGTAGGTGGCAACATCGGTTACCATATCGAACCAATATTAATAGTGTGGCGACAAAAATGATAACGTCTTCTTCACTCAGACATGCCTAGAATGATGTGCGTTCTTGAAAATGGTTGGGCACAGTTTATAGGGCACATAGATTTTCCTTAGTACTTTTCTTTTGATGACGACTATGTTGTTTTCCAATAAATACGCTCCTTTTGGGCACTCACTGCTGCATCAGTGAAGTTCATCGTGGAGCAGAAATTAAGCTATTGGGGCTCTGGAGAGTGCATCTTCTTCGACATCGCTTTTGCCCTTTTGATGTCTGATGTTTACTTCATACATTGATAGTTTAACGACTAACAGAAGAGACGACCTTAAGGATTCTTAATATTCTTCAGCCAGTGTAGTGCAGAGTGATCCGTTACAACAGTGAATGGCTTTCCATAAAGGTAGCAATGCCCTTTATCAGTGGCATCTATAATGGCAAGGCACTCTCTTTCTGTAACAGCATGATTGACCTCCTAATAGGCAATGGAATGTTCCTTGCCTTTGTCTTCAGTTGCTTCAGCACTGCACCAATGCGTTCGCCAAAAGCATCACAGTACAAAGTACATGGTCTCGAAGTGTCGTATATGCAAAACATCAGTTCTTCAGTTATACCCGCCTTCAGTTACTGAAAAGCTTGCTCGCATGCTTCTATCCACGTCCACTTGCTTCCTTTGTGAAGTAGTTTCGCGAGTGGGAGAGCAATGTCGCTGAAATGAGGGATGTACTGATGATAAGTGTTTACAGTGCCCAGGAAATGCAGGAGATATTTTTCTTTCTTGGGGGTGCAAAATATGATTACTTTGCTTAGGTGTCACTATTTCTTGTGAAATTTTGATGCCAAAGTATTCAAGGCTGAATATTTCAAATTAGCACTTTTTCTGTTTCAGTTTTACATTCTCATCTTTAAGAGTATTCAACAGTGCCTCGAGGTGTCTTATGTGATCAGCAAATGTCTCTGAGTATACAACCACATCGTCAAAGTAGTCGCTAACATTAGTGAGCTGATGTTAGGCTATTATTGATTTCCTGGTGTTTCAAATGTAGGCGGAGCATTTGTTACCCCAAACAACATTACCAACCATTCATAATCACCATTAGTCGTGACAAACGCAGTTCTTTTAATGCCATCGGGATACATCTGGACATGCCAGTAGCCCAATGTTACATTTAGCACAGTGATAATGATGATCAAAACTTTATTACTCCCAAAAGAGGCGACTGGCCGAGAGGTCGGTTACGCTGCTTAGAGGAGGTCAGCGGGGATACCTTGGGACACCGCGGCCTCCAATGGGCGTGAGATTACCCGGCGTAGCTGTGCCGAGTCAGTGAAAAGTTCGTCTTTCCCAAGTGGTCCAGAATGTCATCTATACATGGAATCGGTTGATAGTTCGGTACCATTACGGTGGTAGAGCTTGCAATCATGAATACATAGTCCTCCGCCTTTCTTTTCGGCTATGATGACCAGTGTGGCATAGGGGAATAATAAAAACCTCACAACAATCTGCTTAATGAGGGTGCCAACTACAGTCGAACCTCAATATATCGAACGGCGCGGCAATCGCGAAATAGTTCGATATATCCACAATTCTATATAAAAAAATCACGAAAAAAATGCATCAACAGTTTGCTGAAAACAACCAACGAACCGTTCAAGCGTGGTGTAGTAAATACTCCCTTGAAGATTCAAACATAGTATTTATTGTGTTGGTTTAAAATATTGAAAAAGAGTAGCCTGCTTTTTGTTGGCCAAGGCGTGTTTGACGACTGCGTCCTCAATATAGTCTAGGCGATCCATAAGTGATAGGCCGGTGCCTTCAATCCCGCCAGAGTGGCGGCGCACAAAGGCCAAGGCAGCTACGACCTCAGCTGATGTCGGGAGCGGGGCACCATCAGCGCTTGCAGGATCCACCTCGGCAGAGTCTTCATTTGGCTGCTCAGCAGTAGCTTCGGCGACAATCTCCATATCCGTGAGCTCCACCGTGAACTCCGCTGTTCGGAGTTAGGCCTGTCGCGCACCACAGCGCGCGACAGGCCTAACTCCAAACGCACGAACACCGCGAGCACAACGACCGATGCCTGCCGATGCTACGGGGGAGGAGCTTGCAACAAGTGCGCGCTGTGCCATTGACACCATAGAGACTGCAACGACTGCAAGCTGCAAGGCTGCGGCGCGCGTTCGCCGCTACCTTGAAAGTGGCGCTCTCGGCGCCATCCATGTGTGCAGCATTCGTAAACGCCCGCCGCTCTACGACTACTTTCTAGAGTTGCGGGAAAGCTCGCCGCCTGTCAATGGAGCGCGGGCGGTTTGGGGTGGCTGAGTTCGATATATCCATTATATGTCAAACTTTGTTCGAAATAAAAAATCAATAATGCATGCGATTCCCCGCGTGATATAGGAACCATTCGATATAGGCAATAATTCGATATATCCGTGTTCGATATATTGAGGTTTGACTGTAGTTTGTTAATTTCCCCTTTGTCAGCTTGTGAACATCTGTTTGGTGCTTGATAAATGGGGATAGCATTGGTAAGTGCAATCCTAGGTTGCTCAGTCTGGCATCCAATATCTGTCTGGGATTTCGAGAAGATGTCATACTTACTAAAAAGAGAGTCGAGCACTGCTCATTCATGTTCTTTATTCTTAATTCAAAAAAAACCTTACAGGCCCCAGAACAGGGCATTGGGTAAGGGGGGGGAGGAATCGGAATGGTACAGACAGGTAACGAACAGTTTACAGGCAGGATCAGTGCAAGAACAACAAAAAACTAGATATATATACAAATGACAAATGATATATATATATGTTCTGGCAA